CAATACACAATTCTTAAGTTTAAAGATCTGTCCATAGAAGTAGAACCATACACGCAGTATGCAGGTCATCTGGAAGGCAATGGCAGCAGGGACATTGCTTGGGCTGCGTGTGGGTGGGTAAAGCCTGGTTATTACATCATAAATTGGAGGTCGCCTGACATATGAGAGAGGGTGAGGCCAAGATAGGTAGCTGAGTCTAGTATTAGACTTTGAGTATCTGTTTAGAAAAGTGTTTTGTTTGGCCCTTTGAAAATTATTTTCCAAGACTCATGTAGTGCTTGATTATATTTCTTTGGATGTAAATTTTTTTATTGGCAGTATAACGTATATACAGAAAGTCATTAAAGTGCCATATCGTGATAGATTTTTCACAAAGTAAACATATCTCAACGTAACTAACACCCAAATCAGAAAAGATAATATTGTTGGCAGCCTAGAAATCTCTTCATGCCATCTTCTAGTCTCAACTGTGTTCCTGATTTAAGCAGCCTGATTTTTTACAATTTTTAAAAACATCTTTATTGATACATCATTCACACACCATGTAAAGTGTACAGTGGTGTTTAGCACGTTCACAGAGACGACCGTCACCGCGATCTCAGGTTCAGGACATTGTCATCTCTCCAAGAAGAAACCCTGCTCCCGTTTGTCTCACTCCACACACAGGTAGTTCTGCCTGTTTCTTGAATCTACCTGTTTTAAATGGAGTCAAGACAACATGTGCTTGATTTCTTTCATGTTTGACTTCTTCAGCTCAGCTGGAGTTTCTGATTTTTCATCTCTGCTTGAACGGCTAGTTGTGGGCCGTTTATTCTTTGCTGTATCCCACAATTCATCCATTCTGTGGTTGATGGAAGATTTTTCAGTTTTTGTGTGGATGTCTTGTATACATTTCTTGGTGAATATAAATATGTAAATTTCTGTAGTCTCTAGACCAACGTGTGAAACTCCTGCTTTGTTGCTCAGGCTGATCTCAAACTCCTGATCTCATGTGATTCTGCCTTGGCCTCCTACAGTGCTAGGACTACGGGCATAAGCTACTGTGCCTGGCCATTTATTCATCTTTTCCCATTGAATTGCTTGCCTTTTTCTTACTGATCTATAGTTCTTTATATATTCAGGCTAGATGAGTGTATTATAGATATTTCTCCCACATTATTAGATATAGATGCTTCTCCCATTCTGTGGCTTTTGTGCTGGGTTACTTTTTATGCAGTGGGGAAATAATCTTAAGACTAGCTCAGATATTGACATAACCTTTGTCAGCTGTCTTTGCCAGATAGATTTAAAAATCAAATAACATGTCAAGATTGAATAACAACTTTTCCTCTTATTTAATGATGTCATCATAGTGGCATGCCTGAGTGTATGGGATTTGAAAGGAGAGGTAATCATGAATTTTTATACATTTTGTTAAACTTTATTTTTTTTTCCTCTCTCTCTTTTCTTTTTTTATTAAATGATAGCTGTGTACATTAATGCAATCATGGGGTACAGTGTGGTGTTTTCATATACAATTTGAAATATTTTCATCAAACTGGTTAACATAGGTTAAACTTTAATTGAATTGGATTATTATCTAAGACTTGGCTGTTTTTGTTTTGCAAGTTTATATGCCGTGTGTGTGGCGTAGGCGTTGCTAGTTGCTTACCCAATTTTCATTCTCTCTTCTTTATTAATAGACCCTTAATTGGTTTAGTGCTGCAGTGTGCACAGTTCAGATTACTTGCTCTCCCAGGAGGATGTGTAATAGACAAGACTGGTCACATGGCACAGTTCTGCCAATGAGATACAGATGGAGGGCTATTGGGTGAGACTGCCAGGAAAATTATTGATTTTTAAGGAAAAGAGATAGACCTAGCTGATGTACATAGTGTGCCTTTCCCTATGGTCATGATGCTTGGACACTTGGCAGCCATCCTGCAGTCTTGACAGTGCTGACACTGCCAAGATGGCAGATCTTCTAAAAAACCAAGGTAAAGCTAGGTTTTTTTGGTGGCATCATAGAATCATCATAGAAGATTTGAACCTTTGTATTAAGAGTTTTCTAGAAAATAGTACATGAGAGAGGGACTTACTGTAAGGAATTTGTTCATGTAACGGTAGAGGCTGAGAAGTTCCATGATATGCTGGCTGTAAGCCAGAGACCCAGGAAGGTATCTTGAACCCAAATCTGAAGGCCTGAGTACCAAGAAGACCAGAGGCATAAGTTCTAGTCTTAAGTCCAGAGGCCTGAGAACTAGGAGAGCTGATCACTCTAATCTGAAGGCAGGAGAAGGCTGATGTCCAACTCCAGCAGGAAGGTAGGCAGCAGATTCTTCTCTACCCACCTTTGTGTTGTAGGTAGGCCTGAAATGGATCGAATGATTGACTCAATGTTGCCCACGCTGGGAGGGCAATCTGCTTTACTCACTTTACTGATCAAATGTTAATCTCATCCAAAAACACCCTCATAGACATACCCAGAATGATGTTTAAATAAATATCTGCATACCCGTGTCCCAGTCAAGTTGACACATAAAATTAAGCATTGCACCTGCCTCCTCCTGGGCCTCATTTTGTATGAGAGCGGTATTGGGTAAGCTCCCACAATTGAGTTTCCACTATATTCTGTTTAACTCAGTCCCTAAGGAATACGTTTATATGCATTACTTGAATTCCTTGGCCTTCAAAATCAAGACTCATGGCAAGTGTGTCATGGTACTCTGAGGTCGTGTCTGTCTTGGCTAGAATAGAACCTGACTTTGCCACATCTTCCTGTGATACAGATACAGAGCGTTCACAGTTTCCATTATAGAAAAGCCACAAATGAAGCCCGTGATAAAGGCAGCTCAAAGACACCCAGGTATCGGAGCAGATGCCAGAAAAAGTTCTGGGTTGTCCTCGAGATTCTCAGTCACCCAGTGTATTAGACAGAAGCATTGAGCTTTTTTCCATTCTTGTGTTCTTTCCAAATCTCCATTATAGTAAGAAATGATTTTAGGAGGAATAAACTTATTTCCTTCTGAATAATATCTGTTACAGATGTGAAAAATACTTGAGAAAATTGTGTGACCTCATCATTTTGGAAAAAGCAGCTTGATAAGCTTTGACTTGTCATTGCTGTAGTTCCTTCTAAGACAGCAATTCGTGGTACACTAACCTGGGCCAAACAAAGTGCATGTGGTTTTTGTTTTTTATAGTTTTTAAAAATTCTTTATATGTTCTATTTAACTTATTCTCTACATATTTGAAAATTGAAAGTTTGTTCAGGATATCATAGCGGTAGATTTAAGAGGCCTTCAATGAGATTTTAGGGTTTAGTTCATCCTTTGACCAGAAACTTGTAGAGTACTGGCCGGGCACAACTCGGAGAGGGGACGGGTCAGGTTTCTGGTCAGTCAGGGTGCTGGGGTGAAGCTGTTGTCTCACACCTGCCATATGCTGTGTCATGAGGTCGCAAGCCACGTCTCTCCTGTGCTGGCTGGCTTTGTTAGTGGTCACCAATAGCAGACAGACGCAAGACTGGAACCTGGACGAGGGAAGAAGGGATCTGCTCTTCTTAACAACAGTGAATAGCACAGCAGCAGTTCTCCAGCTGAGTGGTGACGGCTAATTCCTGAAGCAGTAGTTGGTTCCAGTGTGCAGCTTTTCCACACTTGCAGAACCAGCCTTGTCTTGCCACTCAGAGATGTGGCAACTCTCTTCTGATGTTTGAATTCCAGGTCTGTGGGGGTCCTGCCAAGTTGCTGAGGCACGGGTACTGGTTGGATAGTATCTTCTTCTGAGAAGTTTGACTCCAAGCTGCTGGGGTACCTCCTTCAATTTCCTAAATGTTAATCCCAGGCTCCTGCTGTTGGTTCCCAGTCTTATGCACGGCATCTGCCTCTCGTCGTCATCTCTGTGATACCTGAGTGTCCCCTTTGTGCCACTCCACCTCTTTGTCTTGTTGATAGTTGTTTATATTAAGTCATCTCTGTTCAACCAAGTGATGTGCTCTTGGTCTCTCATATAACAGGCAACCAGACTTTCAGCTCCTGGAAAAGGGGCGTGAGACCTAGGTCCTCTTCCAAGGAATCCCCAGGGAAAATTCACAATGTGTGAGTGTCTGGTGTCATCTGGACCCTCTCTATGGTCTCACTCCTGATGCTTTATGCCTCTGCTCTATCAGGGCTCTGCCCTGCTACCTCTCCCATCTCACTGTGAGGGCAGCCTCACCTTCCTTGCTCACCCCAGCTCAAATGTAGAGACAATCTTAAGATCTGCGTTTGCCTCCAAACTCACCAGCATCTTTTTTTTTTTTTTTCAATCAAACTTGGAGGAAAAGGTGTTCCTCCTCCTGTCATAGGTTAAATCGTCCATTCTTCCTGTTTTCTTATCATCTACTATGTTATAGAACTTTTTATTTCTCCCTCCACTCCTAATGAAATACAAATCTTCTAAAGGCAGGGAGTTTGCATCTATTTTGTTTGCTGCAGATGTGAGGTGTGAGAAAAAGCAATCACATATGATTCCCAGACTTTCCTGAGCACTGGGGTGCTGGAGTTGCCTGAAACTGAGCAGAGGAAGCCATCAGGGGTCAGGGTTGGAAGGGACAGTCAGAAGTTTAGTTCTGGACATGTTAGCACCTTAGATGTCCACATGGGAATGTCATGTGGGCCGTAGGATATGTATATTGGGGATAAATATAGGTGGAATCAACATGCAGCTGGCGTATAAAATAAGGTGACCAGAGGTCCCGCTTTTGGCAGGACTGTTCTGATTTTTAACAATTTGTCCATGTCCTGTGGCATTTTTAAAAAGTCCCATTTTTTGGAAAGAATGCAAGACAAACTAGGGAACACAGGAGAATAGGAAGGGAATATATGGTTTTTGGCTGCCATGTGGCTGTTTTGCCAGGATATGAGTTTTATATTATTTTTGTTAATTTTATAATGTTAAACTTTAATAATAACAAATAATTGTTGAGAACTGATTATCGAGAACTGCTTATCAAAGTTTGCATTGTTGTCAGCCCCCCCCCCCCAAATGGTGTCCCGCGTTACCAGTGTTAAAATCGGGTCACCTTAGTATAAAACCATGAGACTGAGAGGCAGCTACAAAGACTAAATTGTCAGTGAGGAGGAGTCCAAAGACTGAGCGCTCGGATGCTCCAATGCTAAGAAGTCAGGGTAGAGAAACTACTATCAAGGAAATTGAAAAGGACAGCCTGGACTGTGATAAGAGGAACATCCCTTCCTTAGCTGGCCCAGAATCCAAGAGAAGAAAGTGCTCCAGTGAAGCCAAGGGGAGGGACCGTGTCCAGTGTTGCTGGTAAGTCACCTAAAATGAGAACAGGGAGTTAACCATTGGCTTTGGCATTGCAGAGTCATCCTTGAGAGTGGGTTTATGAGAACATGGATGGGTAAAGGAAACATAAAAGGAAACTGGAAACTACTAGCTTGTGGGGATCAAAGTTCATGAAGAGAAAAGTGAGTTTCTGCTGTTAGAAACCCACGGGCCCTCACGCTTACTCCCCACTCCACATACTGTCCTAAATGCCGTGCAGGCACTTTGGCTCTTGCTTGAGTAGATACTGGCTCTGCTGGGTGCACAGCTTTGTACAAGCTATGGAAGGTTCTCCCGTCTTTCCCTGCTGTCTCTGACCATGCCGTTCTCGAATGAGGTGTCAGTGAGGAATACCCTGTACACACACTTGCTGACCTCTTGTCCCTGGGAATCAGCCTCCTTTCCCCTGTGTGGTGGTCGTGTGCCTGCTGCTCTCCACGAGATTGGAGGCCTTTGAGGGTCTGGCCTTCCCACCAGTGGGTTTCACATGCAGTGAGATGACTGAGGCCAGCTGCCCCCTTACCAGTCCTCACATGGTTCCTTCATGGCCTCTCTTTAGAGTTTTACATGAAAGCATTTCAAACTCATATTCTGGGGAAACGTGGCTGCTGGGATTGTCACGTTAACTTTGTGTTTTCTAATAACAAAAATAGTAACTGGTAGGAATTACCTTGTTGGCACTTCAGAGAGGGTGGGAGGATGGAGAGGTGAAGGTAGGAAGGAGTGGGAAAGAGATGGGAATATTCTCATTTTCCTTTGTGCCAGTTGCCTTTCTGTAATAGATCTTAGGAGATAATTGATTAATTTCCTGAGCTGTAATATATTTACATGTAAAAAGTGTAGATGATTGTGAGACATGCCCTGGTTGCTTCCCCAGAGAAAGGAGGCATTAGGTTCTCCCAGGGGCAGTTTTTCCAGCTTAGAAAGTGGACAATGCTGTCATGAAGGGCTCATTTCCAGATGTGGCTCGGGTCCTCAGTGGGTCATTTTCCTTCTGCCAGCGTCAGCCGTCTCTAGTGGCTTCCCATCCAGGGAAGACTTTCCATCCTGGTATGTTAGTTTTGTGCCAGTGAAGAGTGGCCAGTTGGGTCAGGGGGTTAGGGATTGGGTTGTAGCAAAGTCCCTACTCAGCCAGTTCTCAATCTACCCACAAATGGGGACTTTTATGCCTGCAGGCCCAGTGGGCAGTTGGCTTGGTGATAGGATTTAGAGAGTGGGCACAGGGGGTGACAGCAGTGGTCCTAGTGAGCCCAAGTGTCCTGTGTGATGGACCGTTTCCACCTTGCACAGAATCAGAGACAACATAGAGACAGAGATGAAGGACGCTCTCTCAAAGCCTAGATCCCTTCGGTGTTCCAGGGGGACAGTACACCTAGCTGGTATGTATTACCGTGGGCAACTGTTTGTAATGAGCAGTGATACAAAGGGGAAATAGTACCCTGATCTCTAATCTCAAGTCTTTTTTGGTAGCAGGAGGAATACCTAATTTAGACTAGATTATCTTGCATATTTAACAAAAGGAAACTAGAGTAAGATGGAATTTGTTTCAACCAAACCAACTGATCTCTATCTGGCAAGCCAGTATAAGAATACCATCGTAGATTGACTTTTCATTTATTTATTTATTTTGCGAGACAGAATCTCAACCTGTCACCCTGGGTAGAGTGCCATGGCATCATCATAGCTCACAGCGACCTCCAACTCTTGGTCTCAAGTCATCCTCTTGCTTCTGTTTTTCTTTTAGTAGAGATGGGGTCTTGCTCTTGCTCAGGCTGGTCTCAAACTCATGAGCTCAAGCAGTCCCTCTGCCTTGGCCTCCCAGAGTGCTAGGATTACAGCTGCGAGCCACTGCGCCCAGCTTCATAGACTGACTTTAAGAAAGACCAGTGAGGACAGAGGCACTTGAATTCCAAATTCCCAGAGGATGGTTAAGAATTTATCAGTTAGAGCCAAAGGAACAAAATTTCCAAGAGGCAACTGGGATCTTTTCATTTTGAAAATGCTTTAATAAGTGTTGACAACACTGTTTTGCAAAATGTAAAGGTACTATACAAATTCTTAATACAAAAAGAATAAATTAAAAGCAGATTTCTTTTTTAATTCTGCAACTTTGTCTACAACATACATCTTTTTCATTGATTACAGTTGAACAGAATCCAGTAAAATCATTTTACATGCTCTACAGTCAGTTTCAGGAGCAACCTAATCTTTTCTCCCCCCATTGTTAAACTAGAGTCCATTTTACACAACTTGTAATAAACTATTGACATTAATGTATATGTAAAACTTTACACGTAGTTAACTAAGCAGTAATTGGTCGTCTGATAGCACCTGTATGGGGTTTGCTATATTTAGAACTAAACTAATACTGAATGAAAACAAATAGGAGTTTTTAACAGTTTCAACACTCATCTGCATATAACAAAATTTTAAAAAAAATCAACCTGGCTCACAACATAGTCTGATGTTTGTGTTTTCACCAGTCCTCTGGCTTAAACAGGTGATTTCTCATATGCATCCGAAGAATCCAATAGGGACTTTATATCAGACCAGGGGCTTCATATTTCATCTTATTTTGTTTTAAAGAAATAGGGATATATAAAGAGTTTGCAAGTGCTTGTATACAATAACTACATTGTTTCCCACCACACTGATCATTAATCATGTCAGTCTCAAAGGACTAACACTTTATGTACATTTTTTTTGTATTAACTGAACACAGCTAAACAGTAAAACCTGTTTTACTTAATCTCTGTCTTTACTACCAGACTATCATGATGTTTGCTAGAATTGTATTCCTGCTCCTATTCCATTCCCTGCCCCCCGAATCTAACAACAAAGCCCAAGTTTTCACAAAGAAAGAACTTTTGCCTCGCATTCCTTGTAACTCAGGTGGGCTAAAAGCTTGATCTGATTTACTTCAGACCTGGCTTCAAACTTCTATGCATGTTGTATAACTTGTGACCACGTGACCTCATCACCTTCTCTATTTCTCTTATGACTTTTCCTGTTGCACATAGTTCAGTCGGATTATTCACATATCTTCTGATTTGGGGAGAAAGAAAAATGGCCCAATGTATAATATTTCCAAACAGGGAAGGGAAAAAAAATGTAGCTCTGACCATCAATATAAGAACAAAAAATATCCCCCAATCCATCCCCAGAATCATTTAGTAATGTCATAATCAGTTTCTGTGTATTCTGCAGGTATACCCCAACTGTGTTCTGGGAATCGTAATCCTCTTACACACAAGCTGGGATCACCAGCAGTGCTGGGAGCCGCACAAGGCAGGCCATGAGTCGTTCACAGAGGCCAGTGGAGGCGGCCACGGCCCACCTGGTCCCCGTCAGGTGTGCACACCCTGACTCAGCTCCCAGCTCCCAGCACCTTCCAGGCTGCCGCAGAGGGAACACCGTGAGTAATTACTTTGTTCTCGTGTCCAGTCTTACCCTCCTGGTCTGGTACAGTCTATTGTTACTCTTGGATTACACACACAAGAAAAACAAAGATTTTTCTTTCTTATGCTAAAGCTAACTTCAGTTCTGCTGTCCCACAAAACTACCCCCACCCCGGCTCCTGTCCCTGGCTGTCAAATGCCTTTCTGATAGGAAGTCATCACAAGTGAGAAAAAATACCCCCACACCCCCCACTTGCGCCAACAAGCACAGCTTACCACCTCTGTGGAGACCTTTTTGTGCCATCTTGAATAACCCAACTAAGATTGTGCACTTGTTATTATAAAAGTACTTTTGAGGCCTTTGAAGATCGATGGCTTTCCAGGTGTGTGTTAAGCGTAGCTTAGCACACATGTAAACGTGCAGCTCCCGCACATGTTACTTTTCTTCCTTCCTTCTTCTCTTTTGGTTTCTGCACACAAACGTGGTGCATCAAGTAACTGATAATGTTGTGGGTACAGGGCCCTTCGGGAGCTGATTTTTCTTTTTTAACCCTGCTCTGCCTGTTGGCTAGTAGACACAAGAGTCAAATCTTTCTACCTAAGGGCATAGCTGGGTTCTTGGAATAAGTGACACATAGAAGTCGGATCTGAGCTCTTTGTCACACAAGTGCTAACAAACATAAAATGAGCCACGACAGTTAAAACACTTGAATGGATCGCAATGTGCTTTTCCCTTGGTTTCCCTTAAAAAAGAAAATGAAACGCCTTGTGCAAAAAAATAGGATACACTTTTACTGGTTGTTTTAATGAGAGAGAACCACTTTTGGCAATCATCACCTTACGTTTACTACAAATCCCGAAAGGAAAGCAGCAGTTGAGTCTTGGGCTTGGGCTGAACCACCTGCGTAGACCAGGGCTAATTGTACATTCTGCTACTCCCTGGGGGTCTCTCTTCCTTGGTGTCCAGACTGATGGAAAGTCTGCATCAGCAGTGCCAGCCAAGACTCTCGTCTTCACCATCACACTGGGTTAGTATTTCAGGCTGTTCCACAGACAGAGAAGTGGACCATTAAGGGAGAAGGAGAGAGAGGACGCCAGTTGACTTTCACTTGTGTGTAGTAGTAGTTTAGAATTTAAAGGAAGTTTCCTTGCAGAATGTCTTCCTCTTGGCCCCTCTTGTGTTTTTTTTATTTTTTTGTTTAATCTTTGGCAGCGTAGAACTGATTGTGATCCTCTGATGCAGTCTGCGGTGTGGTGCTTCCTTTTTATCCCTCCCCTCAAGGCCCTCCCCCCACCCAAGCTGTCTCTTTAAGGAATATTTCAGGTAGGAGCTGAATATCCCATGAGGTGTCCTCTCCACGAAGTGCTTGGTTGGCCTATAGGTGGCAGGCTGGACACAGCCGAACAGTCCTGACTCACCCTGTCCTCGGCCCCCTTCCTGTTCTCCACTGATACTACTTGTCCGCAGGACTCTGATGCTGGCCAGCCTCCCTGGTGGTTTCTGGCCTGGGGGCTGTCATGGCAGGGAAAGCCACCAAGGTGCCATTGAGGATTGGTGTCTGGCTCTCTGTGGGCAAGAGAGCCAGGGGACACACAGTGGGACCGGAACCTTCCAGAATGTCTCCTCAGTCAGGTTTTCAAGGGTGAGGGGATGTGGAGACAGGAGAAAAAAAGTGCTGAGGGCCGAAGCTGGTGCAGGGTGACAGTGCGTCTGGGTAAGGCAAATGAGAGGCAGTGAGGTGATCTCAGAATGGCGTTGAGGCGGTCAGATCAGGCCGGGCTGGCTCACACGAGGGTCCCGGGCTTGGCTTTTTCCTGCCCGTACCACTGGACATCAGCTAGTTCTGGATAGAGGGAGGAATCCAGGAAACAGCTGTCATTGTAGCTCCTGTGGGGACCCAAGAAGAGAGAGAGTTAGAGGAGAAGGAAGGGCACAGACTGGCCTCCATTTAGAAGTGCATGTCTATTCCCGTGGTGCCCAGGCTGGCCCCATACTCCCAACAGTGCTGGGTGTACAGACAGCCATAGACTGTCTGAACCTCAAATAATGCAAACTCACACTTCAGCTGGATCCAGGAGTCACCTGGGAGCTCTCAAAAATATTCATGTCTGAGCCCCACTCCAGAGATGCTGGTTTAACTGGTATGGGATGCACTTGAGTGCTGGGAGCTCTCCAAGCATCTCAGGTGATTCTCAGATCCAGCTGAGGCCCAGAATTCCCCCAGCTGCATCCCTTTTGGGGTGACTTTCCCACACAGTGGCTGTCTGGGTCATCCTGCATAAGACCTGGGGGTGACCAGATCTCAGAGATTTTTATTCTGTCCTAGAAGAACATTAGAAATGTGAGGTTTTCCCTAGAGTGAAACTGAGGTGATATTTTGAATTGACTTTTTAAGAGTTTTTCCTCCAAAAAATCACTGATTTTGCTTTAAGTGTTCATTTAAAATATACAGGGGAGTACATAGAAATAGGTAAGTGGCTATTCCAACAAAGTCTATTTCAGGTAGGCGTCACTAATTTGGCTGGATGGAATTCCTTTGTAAGTATCAGGAAGTGATCAGAGATACATCAAAGTCAATAATCATTACTAGTGAGCCATCACTGAGGAAAAATAATCCCTCTCTGCTGCTCCCTGGGGACAGCCCCTCCCTAACCCCACCATGGTGCCACCCTACACTTCCTCGGGGAAACAGGGGACCCAGGTGGGCCAATGACAGTTCTCCAGTTATAGTCCCTGGTGCAGGGATGGCCAGGACAAGCACCTTTGAAACCATGAGGATGTCATTTCCTCCTAAGAATGAAGAGCAGGAGGTAGAACTAGAGACAGGAAGAGAGGCAGTGATCTCTGCCTCAGCCCCGGTGTCCCCAGTCTGGACACACTGGTGCTTGCTCACACTAGTTAAATTGAGTTCTTTCTCACATGTAACTAATGCTGCTATGGGTGCCATGTCTCTTGGCTGTAGTCCTAGCACTCTGGAAGGCCAAGGGGGAGGATTGCTGGAGCTCAGGAGTTCGAGTTCAGCCTGAGCAAGTCACTGTCTCTACTAAAAATAGAAAAAATTAGCTGGGCATCATGGCAGGTGCCTGCAGTCATAGCTACTTGGGAGGCTGAGGCAAGAGGATCATGTGGGCCCAGGAGTTTGTTGTTGCAGTGAGCCAGGCAGAAAAGAAAAAAATTGGATGGAAATCTTGGTTTTGACATAAATATGATCTTTTTAGGACAGAATTTTCCTTAGGGGCTTTACAGGCTATAAGGAACTACAGCCAGTGTTTCTGAAAGTAGTCCTGTGAGGTCTGCTAAGGAAATAAAAGAAGGTTTGATGACAAATTAGTTTGCAGACTCTGCCCTTTGGAGAACTGTGGTGTATATGGACGTAGATTAAAGGCTCTGAGAAGTTCTGCATTACTTTGTTTCACCTAGAGCTCCCCAAACATTATCACCTGTGACCATCTGAACACACTTGTTTGGACACACTTTGGAAAATAACTATCTTAACCTTTTGATTGCAAACAATGCCTAAAAGTGTTCAAACAAGATGTTCAGCTTGGTGTGAATGATGCTTCTAGGTATGTTTTATTTCTGAGTGCTCTGTGAGGTCAAAGAGTTAAATAGCCTAATATTATAAAATCTTTTGTATGTTGTATCCTAAGTACTTTCTGGTTGAGACTATTACTGTTAAAAAGCAGCTGAGTAGTAATTGTATCACAAATAGGAAGTGCCTTTGTGACCATATAATCTGCTTCAGAGGAACTAAAAATTCACTAGTCTACTATGTATTGATCACAAGACCTTAAGGAAAGGCCATTGGGTTCAAAGCTTTGGTGTGTGGATAAGGCAGTGGATTAGGGAAGCGGTCTGTGGTGGTTCAGTCCCTATGTGAAGATAGTCTCACTCTTGGCTGGACCACACCACTCTCCTGCAGTTCATCAGGGAAGCTTCAGGGTCACAGAATCCCACATAGGAGAATCCATGGAGATGCACTATCAAGTTCTGTATGAGATATCTAGTTTAGCTTACAAGAAAGCCAGCTGTAGGCCAGGTGCAGTGATGGCTCATACATGTAATCCTAGCACTGTGGGAGGCTGAGGCAGGGAGACTGCTTGAGCTTAGGAGTTTGAGACCAGCCTGATCAAGAGTGAGACCTTGTTGCTACTCAAAATAGAAAAATTAGCTGGGTGTTGTGGAGCGTGCTTGTAGTCCCAGCTACTTGGGAGGCTGAGGCAAGAGGATCCCTTGAGCCCAAGGGTTTGAGATTGCTGTGAGCTTTGATGCCAAGGCACTCTATCCAGGATGAAAGAGGGAGATTCTGTCTCAAAAATAGGAAAAAGAAAAAAAAAAAAAGCCAGTGTAGGCTGTGTGTGGTGGCTCACTGTTGTAATCCTAGCACTCCGGGAGGCTGAGGCCGGTAGATTGCTTGAACTCAAGAGTTTGAGACCAGCCTGAGTAAGAGGCTAAAAATAGAAAAAATCAGGTGGGTGTTGTGGTGGGTGCCTGTAGTTCTAGCGACCTGGGAGGCTAAAGCAGGAGGATCACTTGAACCCAGGAGTTTGAGGTTGCAGTGAGTTACGATGCCACAGCCCTCTATCCTGGGGCAACAGAGTGAGACTCTGAGGTCTCCAAAAAGAAAGAGAAAGCCAGTGTATAAAATAGGGAAACCATCTCTGGATGTCGGGCCACCGTGTGAAAAGCACTGGCCAGCCCTCCGCCAGAAAGCCAGTGTATAAAATAGGGAAACCATCTCTGGATGTCGGGCCACCGTGTGAAAAGCACTGGCCAGCCCTCCTCCTGCCGCTACAGCAACCCAGAAAGGGCTGTAGTAGCAACCCAGAAAGATTCTGACTAGTGTGATGTGTTTATTGTGTTTAGATTAAATTTATTTACTAAAGGAATGAAAGAAGAAAGTATGAAGCGTTTCACACAGACCACTAGGAAATGGTCCCCACCATTAGTATAATACCTAATGTGGGTTTTTTGTGTGTGTTTTGAGACAGGGTCTTGCCCTACTGCCCTGGCCAGGGTAGAATGGCATCGTTACAGCTCACAGCAATCTCAAACCCCTGGCTCAAGTGATCCTCCTGCCTTGGCCTCCAGAAGTGCTAGGTAACGTGTGGTTTTGAAAGCCGTAAATGTTACTTGATGTGTCGGTCTTTTTTTATTCTCACATTTGTTGAAGAAACTGTTGTTCTGTCTGCTCAGTGACAGCCTTGGCCCTCATTCAGCACAAATTCAGTTTGAGGCTAATAGCCAAGAAATGCCATGTGCTAGGAAAGCAAAGTTAACAAAAAAAGGTCATTTAGGAAGCATTTATTCTTCACAAATAACCCATAAGCAGAGGGCCACTAAGTAATCACCTCAGTAACTTCAGGCCAGTTATTCACTGTCATCTGTGCTGGGATATGGTAAAGATCTAGAAATGGTCTCAAAGCCTCAATCTTAGACCTGATCCAGGGAGGGGTGACTGCTGATGGGGGCTCTCCACTGCCAGAATGCCCCTTCTCACTTGACACTCAGGGATGTGCAGAGATGTGCAGCCTGTCTAAGCCAGGGCCCTCTGATGACAGGTGGTGAATTCACACACCTCCGTCATCCATATCTACTGAGGCTCGTGCTTTATAACTGCTTCATGTAGTGTTCTCTCTGCCCCCCCACCCCCAAGATCTTGGAGGAATTTCAGTGGAATTATTTTCATATAAATTTTGTAAATTGATTTTGTCACTGCCCTTTTCAGCAGATTTCTCTTCATAGTTTACTAATATTTGAGAAATACGATTTAACTTAAAAAACCAACTGGTGGTATATACTGGCCTTGAATACTGTCTGCACCAGGGGCAAGGTGACAGGGCCCTCCAGAGTCATGCTGTCTAACTTGCTTAGGTCATGCTAAGGTAGCCCGCCTAGGTGCTGCTGTCTGTATTTTAAGCTGTTGTGACTACACTTCCACAGCAGCCCTTTAAAATTGTTAAATTCCTACTACCATTCCCACCTCTGTTGCCCTCAGCAGATGATTGGGCCCCCCAGTCTAGGGGAAGAAAAGGTGTTCTTTCTACTTTAAAAATGTTGCTTTCATGACATCATCCTACATCTCTTCTCTGAGATCCTACATCTTCCTTTATAATGCCCATCTGCAGTAAAAATTGTCCCATCTTTGTCCCATCTCTTCAAGATCTTGTCCTAAACCTGCTTTTCAGGCTGAAGCCTGGGTCTTTCTCTATAAACCCCGCCCTCTGCCTTGTTTCTGCATCTGTGCTTTTGCCTTTAGAATGGCCTCTCTCGATTGAGTTCCCCTGGCTAAGCCCACTGCAGGGCTCAGTGTAGCATCTGCAGGAGTTCAACCGTGATGTCCCTACCTGGGAAGTTCTCAGAGAATTTACACGTAAGTACAGCAGTTTCTCATTTCCCTTTGGTTGGCATCTCCTGATAAGGTTTCAAATTCTTGAATGTCAACTCCTGGAACTGTTAGCACAGTTCCTGGAATATACTCAGGGTTCCATTTTTTGATCTAACAAGCTTAAAACTTCTTATCCACTTTGGCATGGTGTCCTTAGCAGTTGCGTTATCCCTTGAAATGCTATTTGATTTCATTGTCTGTGTCCCAGTTAGGAACCAGACCAGGTATGACTTTTCCCTGCACACTGGAGCTGTGCTTTGCCTTCACCTAGGGATCCTGATAAATGCAGAGTGGGATTCATTAAGCCAGGTGGTGCTCAGGAGTCTGTCTAATAAGCTCCCATTGTGGTGATGATGACACTAGCTTAGGGGACTGCATTTTGAAAAGCAGAGTGGGTTCTCTGCCTTTCAGATGTAACTCAAGACTGCCAGGGTGAAATTCTGTTGACGTTTAGGTGATCCTGGATCAACTCAGTCCTTTTCATGGGCACCACTTACTAAATTAAAAAATGTCTACAGGTATTTGTACGCAGAGCCCAAAAAAGTCTAAACATACATACATACAATATTGGGAGTCTCTAATATCTGATGGAAGAACGTACATATAAACATACAGTTCCCCTTCTACCTAGAAGTAAGACACAAAAATAACGGCTTCCCCATCATTTGGGAGTTTCCTTCTGGAAACTATGACACAGGGAAAGGCAACACACAGGCAGCACATCTGGGAGTCAAAGGCATGGGCAGAAAGAACAAAACATTCCCTTACGATACCTCTATTCATCAGTACTTTGGTGAGTTGGAGACTCAGACCCATCCATAATGGGTGAGTTTTCTGTTGCTTCTCTGAACAAAAGAGAGGAGGAGGAGGAAGAGAAGAGATGTCATGTTAAAGAGAGGAACTGACACAGACGTGATTAGTAGCTTATTCATACACTGAGGCCAGTTGATTAGACACCCAAGGGTTAGTGACAAATACATAACACAAGTCATGCAGAACTTCTAATCCCCATAACTGAGGCACAAGAACTCTTTAGCTTTCTTAGGAAGACAGAGTTTGGCATGTTTTACCTGTTGTCTCATTTTCTTATCACATTACAGAATCACATCATCATCATTTGTTAATAATAATTCAGCTTGATCTGGCATAACTGTTGACTTCAAGAACCAAAAATACCTTTTTGTTTCAAATTTGTCTTGAGTCCTTACTAGGTACAGGTGGTGCAACAGGGAAGATTCAAGACCAGTTTAAGGGCGTAGGCCTGTGAGGGGTGCTTGTGAACTTCAGAGCCTGGTGCCAGTCAGATCTAACAGCCCTATACAGTAGAACCTCCATAGTTGACCTAATTTTCATAGACCAGATATATGCCACATGTACATATCAGTACAGTTCCTTATGTTGACCCCCTCCATATATTGCCCAGTTTGTTACAGTCCCTTGGGTGGTCACCTTGCAAGGTTCCACTGTATTTGGATGGGGTGAGAATGGACAAGACCCAGACAATCTGGAGAATCTAGAGGGGGGTCTTGAGATGTCATGTTTCTTATTTAGAGGTGATGGTCTAGCCACTGGAGGTATGTGTACAGAAAATGTGTCTTTTTTTAATGCATTACTCTTAGACCCTAACCTTGCAGAGGCTGCCTGTCCACATAGGCTAGAGCTGGGGTATGGATGGTGAGTCGGTGTTGTTAGTGATTTGTAATGAGGACAGAGGGGCAGCTACTGCCCCAAAGACAGACCAAGAAAGAGTGGATGTAAGAATACTGTAGTTGGGACTACAGATTCCCTAGATTCCAAAAGAATAAGAGAGAGGATAGCAGATGTAGTTCAGAGATTGCCAAACTTACGTGTGCATCAGAATCTCCAGCTGGGCTAGTTAAAACACAGCCTGCTGGGCACCACCCCTGGAGTTTGGGATTCACTAGGTCATAGGTGAGCCCAAGAATCTGCATTCCTGATGAGAGCACTCCTCCCTCCCTGGCTGACTCATGCTTCTAGTCTGGGGACCACACTTAGGGAACCATTGGTATAGTAGGGAAAGCCAGGGCTTAGGGTCACAGAGAGCAGGGCTGAAGTTCCGGCTCCCTCCACAGCTATCTGTCTTATTTTTTCTGACTTTCATCTTTAAAACTTGTAAGCTCGCAGTGGGGATTACAGGAGCTCCTATGTTAGAAGTGCCCTGCCTCTGAGTACACAGCAAGCACTCGATCAACGTTAAAGGGGTGTCTTGAGATGGGATGTTTCTTATTTAGAGGTGATGGGCTAGCCACTGGAGGTATGTGTACAGAAAATGGGTCTTTTCTCTCTTGCCAAAAACTAAGGCTCCAAAAAACTTGGTGTGAAATCACTACAGATAAACTTGAAGGAACAAAAATGCCAAGCATGGGAGCCTGAAAGGCAGTTCTGAAACTGTGGAGAAAGCTGGGCATGGGGACCCTTCACTCCTCTAACCAAAAGGTGTGAACAAACTGTAACATTCACTTAGAGGTGCTGTCACAGGAGCAACAGGAGAGACAGGGATAGTAGACTCAAACAGGGTGCCTGTGTCTGCCAGACCCTCCAGTAGGGAGAGTGGCTTAACTGGTCCTGAAATTATGATGCCATGTGCCTACATTTAAAGCTGGTTTGGTTTCATTAATTTTGCTGTTTGTGGCTTCTACTTAGATTTCAAGGTACCTGACTGCCTTTGTTAATACAGAACAGGTGCTTGGCCAGGACAGAGCCTGATACCCAGCCAGCAGGCATGCTCAGAACGTCTGGCCCAGACTGGGCACACAGAGGTGCTTAATTAGCTCTCTTTCTCCCACCCCTGATGCTCTTGTCCAGCATTTTGAGTCGGCCTGGGTATATTGGGACTGAAGAAGCAATAGTCCACTTTTTGCTTCGACCTACTCATGGTCCCAGGGACCACTGCCTACTCTAACAGAGCACAGAGAATTCAACTCTGTGAAGGGAGGTGAAGGAAGGTGACAGCATTTCATGAGGAATTTTCCCAGTAATAAACCCTCACTGTTTGCTTACTGTTATATTCTTATGTCACCAGGATCTTAATGTTTATGACACTTTCTAGTGGATACAGTCTGGAACCTGGAGAAAGCAGGTCAAGGCCTGAAAGAACTCACCCAGTCTGCCAGGTTAGGATGTGGTGGGGACTGCTTGGAGGCGTGGCTCCAACTTCACTTGATGGCGTTGAGCTTCTCTGGCTTTGAGGTAAGGCAGCTGTGTGCAGGGGGGTCAGAGAGAAGACAGGGATCAGACACAGGTGAAGGAGCTTGCTGGCTTGTACCAACCCTGTGGCCAGGAGTCACCATTTCCAGTTATGCTGCATATGGTCCCATGGCAGGGTCTCAGCATCTATGCATCCCATCTATTACATTTTCTTCTTAAACCAGGTGCCCCAATTCTGAATCAAGCTGACCTGGCATCCTGGCTCCCTGCTTTGCCACCAGGAAGTAGCCGTGGATGGTGGCAGCTTCCATAGTAATGCAGAACCTGAAGCCCTGTTGTCCCTTGAGGGAGATCTGAGCAGGGGCTCAGCACACTTTCAGGTGTGGCCCTGGGTGAGCAGGTAGCCTCCAGAAAGATCCTCAGAGGTCTCGCCTCACTGTGTCAGGCTCAGCATTTTCCACTTGGAAGAGGGCAGAGCTTTTTAGAAGCTCCTTGAAATCTGAATACTAAGAATCTATTGCTGTGGATAAGCCCAGAAGTCTCACTGGAAAAATATAGTAGGAAGTTGATCCTACTTAAATGCATCCTTTGCTTTCTTGGGAATTGAAATCATATCAGTAAACCTCAAATACAGCTTCTTAAAATTTTTAGTGTAAAATATATTCCAAAAGGTCTACCTAATCTCTTTATGTAGAGCAGATCTGTTACATAAGCACTACAATTTTGATAGAAAAACCAGTGGTTTGTAAAAGTCACTGACAAAGGGGCAAGACTCCTTATGTTCTAACAAGGTCACAGACAATCATGCTTTTAACATAGTTTACATAATTTACTTACTCTCGAAATCTTCCTGAGAAGTCAATGGAAAATTTCATTTTACAGATGGAGGGACAGGAAGAAGGCTCCAGGACCCTGAAGTCCATGGATGGAGGGGCAGAATGCCCTGCTCTCTTCAGGCCCCAAGAATCTCTCCTTCACTCCCCGAAGGTGACCGTCCCCTGCATTGCCTTCAGGTCCCCCTCATATAAAATCGCCCTCTTATTTACTGACTCATTGTTTCCTTGTGGTGTTTACTATTTCTGGTGTATCTCAAGACACTCCCTCATTTTCTTTTCCTCCAGTGAGAAGAACGCAGAGACTCCCTTACTTCATTTCCCTCTCTGAGTGGTGTATTATTTCCTCCTTATTGAGGGAGAGGGGTGAGAAAACTTGTTAAGGGAAAGGATGGGTGCTTTCACTTTTTACTAGACTCACTTACTGCTCATCGCTCCTAGTACAAGAATATAAGGTAAACCTTAGCTTGAGGATGGAAATTTTCAGACATAATATCAAGGGCACCGAATGCTCTTTATAAACATCACATTGTGGCTGTTACCGAAACCGGAAAGCCAGGAGCAGTCCAAGGTTATCTAGCAAGACAGGAGTGTCAAATGCAGAACTCCAGCATCTCAGGCAGCCTGTGCCCACCTGGGGAGGCAGTGGCCAAATCTCAGGGTGTCAAGACCCAAGCTGGCTTTCCCTTGCGAGGCTATGACTGGGGTCTGAGAGCCTCTAACTTCCCAGAACCTGCTTGTCACTAGGGTAAGGGCTCACCTTTGGCTAAATAAAGTGAGACACAAAGTGGCTAAGGGAGGGGACAGGGGAAGAGAGTTGGCCCAACCCTCTCTGGAGGGTCAGGTGACAGCAGGCTCAGGGTGAGTGGCAGGGGCTCACCAATCTCCCACTTCTGACAGCCAGGTCCCTGACCACCTGCACCCTCGGCATCCGAGGACTAAGCTCCCAGTGCTGCCACACCCCTCTTCCGGCCCCCCAAGCTCCTAAAACAAGCCAGCAGTTTGCACCCGGCCACCCTCTCTCACCTGACGTGGCCTTGCACATCTGGGGCATCCTGGTGACCCTGCTGTGCGCCACGAAGGTGCTCTGGGAGGAGGTGCTGTACTGCGAGCCGCTGTCGGAGGAGGTGGAGCTGGTGTGCGACAGGCGGCTGTGCTCCTTGTGCGAGGCAGTGGAGCGCTGGTACCACTGGCGCAGCTCATCCGAGACAGCGGCGCGGCCCGCGCCCTTGTCGTGGGCGCCCTCACGGCCCAGCGAAGGAGTCCTCAGGATCTGCGAGCGCGACGGCGTCAGGCGGCCCGCGTCGCCCTCGTCACCACCGCCTCGCCAGCTCTCCTTGAACAGACCCCCAGCCGTGTAGGAGTTGGACGTCTTGAACTGCGCTTTGACGCTGTAGTGGCCCTCCTGGTCGCTCTCCAGGCTGCGCACCACCACGGGCGTGGCGCTGCCCTCGATGTACAGGGGGTACTCCTTGATGCGGTATTGTGAACTGGGCTGGCTCTGGCTGTGCAGATACACGCCGCCGCCTGCGCCCCCCGCGGCCCCAACACCTCCACGTGCTGCCAGGTTGGGCATGCTGCCCGAGCTGCCTGCGCCCAGCGCGCCAGCAGCCCGCGCCCGTGCCCGCTGCCGCTGGCGCGCCTTGGATGGCGAGTCCTCGGCCAGTGTTGAGTAGTTGGCATTCATCTGCGCCGGGTAGTAGTGCTCCGAGCTCGAGTGGCTGGTGCATGACGAGCAGTCATCCATGGGGTCCGAGCCGTTGCTGCTACGAGTCCTCGGGGTGTAGAAGTCGGGGCTCCCGGTGTCGTTCTCTGAGCCCAGGAGCTTGCCCTGGGACTCCAGGCTGGAGCTCCGATGTCTAAAGTGCAGTGCAAGGCTGTGCAGTCGCGTGGGGCTGATGTCCACTGACCTGCAGGGAGACAGCCTGGTTGGCCTGGGGTGGGGGAGCCTCCAGGCTTTGGATATAGGGAAGAGCAAAACCCACGCAGGCTGAGCAGCCTGTGAATGGAGGTAGGTAGCATCCAGGGACCCACAGTCAGCAGGGCTGGCTACTGGGGGGGCCTTGGAGGCGAACCTGGGGCCTCACTTTGATTCCCAGTGGGAAGTAAAGCCAGGACTCACATGAGGGTTTCCTCTGGAAAAAGCTGGCCAGTATCGGGGGTGTTTTTATTTTTAAAGATGGAAAATGAACTTACGGATACAAAGAGAACTCCCAGAATCACGATTCTGGTGTTATTTTAAACCAGATGAAATGCCCATATTTGTAGCCTGAAGAGTCCAACCCCAGCCCTTCCTATGGTTTAACTAAATACTATTAAGAAATCCACATAGATTCCCATTTCCTGTGCAAGTTTGAAAATGAAAGTTTGGCAGAACATTTGAAAAATGAACGATGCAAATATTTACCATGCTATTACTTTGTCTGTACTCCACTCTGCTTCAGTATTGCATGGCAGACCATGTTGCCAGATGCTGGGACTCAGTGTGAAGTTCACAGCAGCCCACCAGCCAAGGACAGGAAAATTGAGTTCCAGCTGTGACCATCACCCAGGGTGGAATCAGAAGCCCCCACCATGTGACCCTCCATCACCTCGTTTTGTATATTTTTAGAAAATGCAGGTGTGATTCACCAAAGCCTAATTTTTGCCTGTTTCTTTTGCTGATTATGAATTTATGCCCTTAAAGCACCAAAGGAAGCCCAAGGTAAATTTAGGCCTCAGTAGAAAGTTATAAGAGGACTACAAATAGAGATGAGGCCGTCAGAGTGAGGTTGTTCTGGTCCCAGCTCTTCTGGTATTAACCCAGCCAGCCTCTCGGGTAGATCAGGGAAGCTCCTTCCATGCTGACTGTCCCCAGGAGCCTGGGGAATCTTGGCTGACTCCAAGTGCCCCCAGGATGTGGGCAGTGGGCTGTCATGGGTCTCTTGGCTAATGGGGCTGACTGATGTCAACTCAGTGTTTTAAAAATTCAGCTTCACTGATCTTAGGTTCAAGTCTGTCTCTAGCTCACCTGTCATGTGGGCCAGTTTGGGGCCAGCAATGCCTACATTTATAAAAAGGAAGGTCCGGTCTGAGGAGGGAGATGGCCAGAGAGCCTGGACTCACCTTGTGGAATGGACATAGTGGGGACTCCGGACCCGCAGGTCTGGTGTGGACGGCATGCTGGACTGGGAGTTCCAGTGAGGGAGGCTGTGGATGGGGCTGTTCTGCAAGGAGTTGCTTCCCCCTCCTGCTTCTGCGCAGCTGCCCGTGCTGGGGAAGCGCTTGTGGCTGCTGTGAACCCAAGGAAGCCGTGTTGTCACTGCTGGACAGATGGCACCTCCAAGGGGCTGGCCAGCGTGGGACACAGATCTGGGTGTGGGGAAAGCTCCCCCGGGACTCCCACCTCACTCCTGCACATCTCTATTGTGTGGGGTCCTGGTCCCTGGACCTCCCCCACCCCAGATGATAGGCGGTAAGACCCTCATTAACCTGCTTTGTAATGGCAGAGTGACTGTCCCCTAAATCCCTTTGCCTCACAGTTTCTGTTTTCCAGGTGACAAATATTTACCTCTTAGCTCACTTACTTGAAGCTTTACTGGGTTTAATGAAAAGAAATGAGAAAAGCAAAGAACTGGACCCAAAATTCCTTCCCCCAAAACCTTTTCTACAATGTCAGCCCAGCAATGAGCTGATAATACCCAGTTCCCATCACAGCTGTTTGGCTCCAGAATTCTGCTGGGTGATGGTTTAAGGTTCTGAACCCTTTGGGGATTCCTTAGAGCGGACTCTCACTTGACATTTTGGAATACTGCTGCCTAAGATTTCCTAATTAATTCCTGTGGAATTTAGCAACATTAAAGCCATCTGCCATCACCTTGATGGTGAGCCAAAACTCCGATTTCCACTTGAATGACCAAGCTGCACCTCAGCAGCATCAGCAGCAGGGGGCGCCGTGGGCACAGCACCAAGGAAGGCAAACCCAGGAGGAGGAGGAACCACGTGGTGCTGGATTTTGTCCCCACACTTTGATTCTTTCAGAGTGTGGACAGTGGCCTCATTTGGTTTCATTCAAGCCCCAACTCACCTGGAATGGCTGTGGGAGGAACGTTTCTTGACCTTCTCATAGGGCTCATCCAAGGAGGACTCACTCCACATCTTGGGCTTTATGGGGGACTTGTCATAGTCGCTACGGTGATAGTGCATCTGCCTGAGGCCCTCCAGGGACTGGGGAGGAGGTGGCCTGTTGTGCGATGGTGGCCGAGGAGGGAGTCCCTTGTGAGGAGAATGTAAGGGGGATATTGTGCTGGTAACCTGAGAGTCTTCTGCACAAAGAGAGAGAGAGAGACTGAGAATGATCACCCTTTCCACAAGACCAAGACACCCCACCCACCTGCACCTCACCTGGCCCCTCGGGGCCACACAGCCAAATCTACACCTTTCCTTCACCCATGTAATGAAGAACCCCAGGACTCTTCCCCAGCTGCCAAGACAGGTTGAGACCAGTCAGGCCAGCCCTGAGCAAACCAAATGTCAGCTGCCCCCAGAATTAATTGCATGTGAAGAGACCTTCTGTCACTTCTGATTAGACACAGATGGAATGAAGTCTGAATTTTATGAAATACCATCAACAAATGATCATGTTACTACACCAAACAGCAAAATATAGTTATTACCATATTGTAAGTTTTCTTTCAATAGACACTAGGCATCTGATTTGCTTTGGGGCAGTCTGAGCCCCCCAAAATTTTGCCTGTTTTGTTCATTACTGTGTCCTCAGTGCCATGAATGGCAGCTCACACACAGTAGGTGCTCTGTAAGTCCTGGCTGGAAAAAGAAATGAATGAAAACAATCTGTCCAGGGTAATTATCTGCTGGGCGGGTCTGGGTAGCTACTCTCTGCTTTTTTCCCAGAGCTATCTATATTCTCTTTGGTTCCTGTATACATGTATTTTAATTTTGAAACTGCCTTAAATTCTCTGGGAAAGAGATGGGCCACGAAGATTAAGTGCTACTAAATTATTCTCTGCTTTCAGGGGAGTGATGATCATCAGGGTGATAGAGGCCTTGTGGAGACAGTGAATTCAGTTAGCCTAGGAGGGGCTGTGGGAAGGGCTGCCCTTGAACAGGTAGAGGGGAGTAGGAAGGAGAGAATTTGAGCAGGGGGTGAGAGGAGGGCTCCAGTCAGTATAGCAGACCCTGTGTGTGTGCCGTGATGAGAGGGAGCCCAGCCCGTGGGGGTCTGGGTTTGCAACTTCTTAAATAAGGATGCATCAGGGTGAAAAAGTCCTGTTTTAGAACTATTCGCCTGACAGTATTAAAAAATGAGAAAGGAGGCGGCGCCTGTAGCTCAAAGGAATAGGGCGCTGGTCCCATATGCCAGAGGTGGCGGGATCAAACCCAGCCCCAGCCGAAAACTGCAAAAAAAAAAAAAAAAAAAGAGAGAGAGAGAGAAAGGCAGGGAGAAGGCGCTAGAGTTGTGGGGTCCCTGGGAAGACATCGGGACAGGGTTGGTTGGCAATAAGATGGAGGAGGGAGCACTTCTGCTTTCTCAGGGAATGCCGGGGGTGGGAGCTGGAGAGCAGAATCACACAAAAACAAACCTCCAACCCCTCAACTGCCTTTCACTTGCCCCTAGATCCATTGGCAGCTACCATGCCCTTCACAGCTGGATTCTCCACCCAGCCATGCCCATCCACTATGCTGCCATTCCTCCTCTGCCCTCTCAAATCAGTGGAAGAAGAGTCTGGAAAGAAGGAGCCTGTGATGGAAGCGTGGGGTGCAAAGGGAGGTGATAAGGCCTCTTAAGATGTCCAGGGGTCTGGAACAGGGGGAGGAACCTTGAGTCACCATTGATGCCTCAAAATCAGATAACGACATCATCTACTGCCCTGGCAACTTCTCTATGACAAACGAATCTCACTAGATTGTTCTTGTTCCCTCCACTGGAGAGACTGGCCTAGGATCTCTGATATTCTAAGTAAGCCTCCCTGTAGCCCCCAGGCCTGCCCCACCCAAGGAATGAAGCAGATGATAAAAATATTACAATCTGATTTCTAACAGCAGGGCCAAGACAAGTCTGTAAATCACCCGCCAGGCTTTCCCCCACATCAAGACCAATAATTATTATTACTGCAATTATGATTATTACCATAACTAGGGTAGACCTTTTATGTTCTCCATCTGAACAGGCACTTCTCACTGCCTGCCTGAGGTTTCCCTACAGGGCAAAAAAATTAACTGCCACTTAATAAATTTCCAGGTAATTAATGCTCTTCTCTCTTGGTGCTTTGGTTTAATACACACAGGAACATTCTCAGAGATGGTTCTGTGGTTGGAATTCTTATTTCACCTATGTATGGTGATGGTGGCAGCTGCAGGGAATCAGTTCTGCTTTTCAAGGAATTTTCTAAGAAACTATTCTGGGAACTACCAGGTTTTAAAAATCCAATGTATACTATGGAGTACTACTCAGCCATTTCAAAAAAAGATGAATACCTTCTGCAATGATCTGGATGGAACTGGAGACCATTCTCCTAAGTGAAGCATCTCAAGAATGGAAACACAAACATCTGTACTCACTAACTGGAACTGATGTATGAGCACACGTGCATGCACAGAGGGAAGTAAAAATCAGTGGAAATCAAGCAGGAGGTTGGGGAGAGGAGGGAGAAGGTCAAAAACCTCCCTAACAGGTCTAGTGAACACTGTCTGGGAGACAGGCACACTCATAATCCCGACTCAAGGGCAACAAAATCAACACATGTAACCCAAAACATTTGTAAACCACCACCACCACCCCCTGCAATATTTTGGTATAAAAAAAGAGAAATCCACCTGCAGTTGAAACAAAGTGTGGCATGAGGTTACAGAAAGTGGAAGTGGGAAAATTAAAGCTACAAAAAGTCACACTCGCAAAATGGTAATTATGATGAGGTAACTCGTGATCGGTAAGTGCTAGTGAAGAGACATTTGCCTGCCTTGAATGGGAAAGGTCGGGAAGACATGATAACCACAAGTATTTGGAATATGATACCGCCAGGGGAAGACTCAGGGGAACTCGGTTGTGTAAAGGGCTTTGGAGAAGAGCGTTCCGGGAAGAATTTAAGCCATCTTAACATGGTGTCAATTCCACAGGCAAGCGGATGAGCAGTAGAAATTTGTTGTTACTTTGTTTCCTACCCTCTAAGCTCCCTTCTGCTACCAGATTCCCCATGTTTCTACTGTTCGGTGTTAACCTTTCTACTCTGGGTGTGGACCTAAGAGATGATACTGGCCCTTCAGAGCCTTCCATGCCACAGTCACGACGATAAATTCTAGGATGAGCCCCCGACCCTGCCAGAGCCAATGACCTGTACAATGCTCCTGGATGCTTCTGCTTGAGCTGATGAGAAATAAGTATATTCTCCTTTCCTGCTGGATCTAGAGCTATGGAACCAAGCTCGAAATGTTGGGGGCCACCAGGAAGGAGAATCTACCCAGGGGAGAGCCAGCACTAAGAAAGTAGCATCAGGGGACATGTCCTGGTGACTGAGTTTGAGCCCCTGAATCAAGATTCCTCTATCCGTATTGTCTGTCCCTTATAGTTTCATATTACATAAACCAATACATTCCCATCTTGATTTTTTTAAAAAAGACCCCAATGTGGAATAAAAAGACATTTTTCAAGGTCTGACTAGGTGTCTACAGGGCCGTGTCCTCTTATTTTCACTATTGTCTCAGGAAGCTATGGAGGGTTTGTTTCCGCCCTTCCTACTACATCCAGACTCTCCTCGTGGGTTTTAATCATTGATTTGTAATCCAATCAGTCTCTACCCCTTTCTACCAGATATTATGTATCCTCAAAAGGAAACGATGTATGGTGTTTAGAATTCTCCATCTAGTTAAAAACGTGGTCTTGGCTACTCAAAAAGTAAAGCCCCACTCACTGGATAGAACCTTGAACCTTACAGCTCTGGGCCACTAAAATTCTAGTAACCACCTGTTTATGGCGCGCCTACCCACTCCCTACCAGATGGGTGAACCCTGGGAAGTGAGGGAGCCTGCAGGGAACCCGGCTGCCTCTTGGACCTGCAGTCCCCAGACCACATTCAGAGTCAGCCCTGTTTCACCTGAGCTCCAAGCCCTTCAACAGAAAGTGGATCACCTACCATCCTCAAGAACAAGGGCGTCTGAGAGGGAGCTGTCTTCACTGGCAATATTTCCATCTGAGGAGACAAAAGGCAAATGCCCATGAGCTTAGCACATTCCTTCAACAAAGCCCAAATTGTGTGCTCACCACTCCCTCCTATGCTTCTCTTTCTAATCAAAAAGAGCCCATGAGATACAATAAAAATGCTGTCGGGCATTTCTTTTGACAGCCCCTGTGGTGGGGTCATTAGCTCACCCTCCCCGCCTGCCCGGTGTCACCGTGCGCCCCAGTCTTTGTGTTTCTGTGTTCTTGTTTCATGAGCTCCTGCAGTGGGGCCTGGCTTAATATCCCACATAAAGGCTGCCCCAGCCTGGTCAGGCCACCTCATTGTCCCAGTACAGACTCAGGGCATGTACCAACGAAACCAAAGGAAGCCAGCTGCTGTTTATTCGACAAACGCGAAACTAGGGGAGGGAACTCTGCTTTGCTCCTTTGGTGATAAATGGCTTCTCAATAAACTTCATAAGCCATTAGTAGAGAAAACAAGTGTGCTAACTACAGACTCCGGCTCTCCAAAGCTTGTTTTTATAGACATCATTCAATTAAACAGAACACGCCCAAGGAGGAGACATTAAACGATCCTTCCTGTTTCACTGCTGGGGAAACTGAGGCGCAGGGAGGGAAGGGTGGTTTGTGTGGAGGTTGCTTCAAGCCCTCAGAATCCAAGTTTAGTGTTTTATCTCTTGAAATAACGTGCTAAGGAACCAGTAAGAACCTTAGCCACGCCTCTAGTTTAAATGGGCCCTTGGATGTTTGCACAGAGTCGGGAGACTGTTTCCCAGATGGAATCTCAGGTGGGGTCTAAGAGAGGGGCTGCCCAGTGGGGCTCAGTTAGTGAGAAGGGGGAAAGGATAACAGGGCGAAACAGGGAAAGATGGTTATTCCAAATTTCCTAGAGCAAAAAAGTTTTTGAAATTCTCTCAGGATTCGCTTTATCCCTATTCCTCGTTGGACCGAGAACCTTGGCTCTGGCATCTGGGAATCTCCAGCACAACTCTGCTTCCCTAGTACGTCAATGCATTTAGGTTGCAGATATACAAGGGTGCCGAAAAATGTATACACATTTTAACAAAAGGAAGAGCTGTATTGAAATTGTAATACTCAATATAATACCAGTAACAAAAGATGAATACTGACTTCTATAATGACAGGAGGTGATCCGAGTACATACTATATAACACATAGATAACATCTCTTGTAATGCGTATACAAATGTATTTTTCTGGCACCCCAGTATATATATTTGTGGTAAAATAGACATGACATCAACTTGACCATTTTAACTATCTTAAAGCATGCAGGTCCACTGCAGGTCCACTCACAGTGTTATACAACCAGCACCACGGTCATCTTCTGTCTGGGTAACAGTTCCAGCTTGCTAGACTGAAGCCTTGCGTCCATTAAGCAATCACTTCCCAACCCCTCCCCCTGTCCTGGTGATCACCATTCTGCCTTCTGTCTTCCTACAGAAAAACTAACCTATTTTAGACATGGCTATTCTAGGAAAGAGTACTTGACATATATTTTCAAGAATTTGTTGACTTAGAGAAAAAAGATTCTAACAGCCTGGGGGACTTGATGCCTATTGGTGGATTTGGGGGTATTTTCCCTCTAAAGATTACCAAATACAATCAATCAAGCTTTTAACTCTTGACCAGGGCTCAGGGCTCTGGACATTGAGATGGGGATGGTCCACACCTCCTAAGCCTCAGCTATTGAGATAGGAGGCCCTTGGGAATAGAGGAAGACTGAGGGTTGGTGGGGGAGGGGAGGCTGCTGGGCTGCAGAGCTGCTCCAGGAGGAAAAGGAGGTGGGTCACTACTGTTGTGTACCCCAGGAACCTCTTCTCCTTTCACACTTAGGTCGGGACAGTCAGGTCCCTGAGGGCAGCAGTCTGGGCTGGCCCTGGGCTAGCCCTGTCACCTGGCTCAGCTCATGGGGAGGGCTCAGAGTGCTGTCTCCTCCCCGCAGTGTCCCCGGGGAGACACTCCATAGTGAGAACATTTGCACAGTCCCTTTCTGCTGGGGATTTGCGTGTACGTGGTTACTCTCATGTGGTATCAGATGACAAATTAAGGCATAGGGTGGTTGAAGAGCTGCTTAGGTCACGCTGGGACTGGGCTTTGGGACCACTCATGGGACCTGGCGTCTTGTTCCCTGAGGCCCCGGGGAGGGAGTGGGGCACGGGCAGTCGGCAGACACTGACCGTCTATGATCAACGAGGCCCTCTGGGTGGGTTTCTTCCCGGACTTGATGCGGTTCTCGTTGATTGCATTTTCAATCTCCTGCAGCTTCTTCAGTGCATTCAGATAAGAGGTTTTCCTTTGTTTCTTCAGTTTTTTGCTGACATTGGGGTCACTGGCGAGGCGGCGGGCAGCCTCGGTAATCTGGGACTGAATGGCAAACTCCCGTTCCAGGCGCTCCAGCTCGGCTTCCTGTGGGAGGGAGGGCCACAGCTCACATGACTGGGGGTGCTAAGCTGGGGACATCCATCCTCCCCACTCCCACCCCTCCCCACAGCGAGGCTGGCTCCTCCGGTGACACACACACAAAGGAGGTCAGCAGTCCCAGTGTCTAACCCCGGCCCTGCCTGACCCCACGCAGTAGGACAGCAGCCCCACTCCTAAGATCTCTGCCTGCTGCAGACCGTGGACACAGCCACTGTCAAGACCCTCGGCTCCAGTTACTTTCTGGAGACAAGGGTCGTCCATATCCTGGCACCATCACTGAGCAGCAGCTCTCATGCCCTAGGTGTAGGGGTCACCTGGCTTTGTTTCTGAAGACAAACTGAAGCCTTCGTGGACAGTGAGAGCCCATTGGTTACCACTTCCTTTCCACTCTGGGCATAGGCCAGGGCCTTATCTTAGAGCAGCGGTTCTCAACCTGGGGGTCACGACCCCTTTGTAACAATGAAAATACATCCTGCATATCAGATATTTACATTACGATTCCTAACAGTAGCAAAATTACAGCTATGAAGTAGCAACGAAAATAATTTTATGGTTGGAGTCACCGCAACATGAGGAACTGTATTAAAGGGCCGTGGCACTGGGAGGCATTAGGAAGGTTGAGACCACTGTCCTAGAGGAACTTTCTGTCATTCCTCCCTCTGGATTTGCTGCCAGGGAGCCCACACACATACACCTACCCCAAGTGTCCTGACTCACAAGTTGTGTCCCTCATGTTGGGACACGTCCCCATCCCCATGTCTTCCAGAAGCTCTTTTTGCAAGCCCCACCTGTCCTTCTCACACCTGCCCGTCCACAGATGCCCTGCTCGGGCTCCACCTGGGCCCTCCATGAGCATGATGGCTCCCTGGACAAGCGTTCCCTCCTTCTCGTGCAGCCCCCTCCCATCTCCACACCTCCCTTTGGCTAAGACACGCAGATGATCGAATGGCTCCTCAGAGCTGCTCCTCAGAGCCTGGAGCCTGGGAAGAATGAGGCTGTGGCTGCCAGAAAGTGTCAGAAGGAGGGGGACATCCCAGGCAGCCGCTCCCTGCTGAGCACACTCTCCCCTGTAGGTGTGCACCAGCCTGCGCCTGCGTGAGTGAGGATGTGGCGGTGAACACAGACTCCCCTCCACAAAGTATCAGCTTGTCCACTTGTCTATTTCCTCCCTTCCCTAGTGAGATCCCTCCCATCAAAGCCATCCCGGAAGGCCAGCCTTTAGGGTTGAGACTCTGAGCAGAAGGGGCTGTACACTGCCATCTCCCTAGTTCAGGGCCAGCAGGCGGTACAGCCTAGGACCACACCTAGTGTACCCCACAACTCCAAATGCCAGCGAGCAAGGCCAGGGGACCCCAGATCTCAGCCTGAGGAGAGCCACAGTCACACTAACATGTGACAAGAAGCGGTCCCGGGCCAGGGCCCTGTGTCTGCTGAGATCAGCACAGCTTCCCACTGTGGCCCAGGGCACAACTCCACCCGGGACAAGTTGTCAGCCTGTTTTCATTTACTGTTGGGCATGTTAAGCCCGAAGGAAGCAGGAGCCAGGAGCAGGAGGCGGCGCGGTGAAGGTTAAACAGAACTAGTTAGGGGATGATAAACTCCTTCCTTCCTCGTCCTTCCCAGGCTGGCCGCGTTTGTTCTCTCAGAGGCAGAGGGACATGGAAATGGACGCCTGCCCGGGGTCTGGAAACAGCGAGTCGCCAAGGGACAAAGAGCGTTCTGTGAGTCAGCTCCACCGAGCAGCTGTTTTGGGGCTGTTACGACAGCCCTGACCCCGGACAGTGACTCAGAGTTAAGTGGGAAACCCAGGCCAAATTCTCACTGTTTAAGACAAGTAAATGGCTGCACACCCCATCTGTGCAAAGGGCTGGCTGTGCGTGAACAGGGGAGCAGGTGTGTTTCCAGGGCAAGGAAGCAGCCCGGGCCATCTCTCCCTTCCTGAGGGACCCCGTGGAATTGCAGCTGCTCCATGCTGACTCCTTTTTAAGAACTTAGGAAAGGTAAGTGCTGGGATAGGTGAGGCTATGTGGCTGCATGTGGAATTCCCAGGAGGTAAAATCATGCTTTGCTGAAGTGCGAGATACACTGGGTTCTGGGAAGACCAATGAGGTGCTGGGGAGGGGGGCACTCACTAAAAGTGGGGTTACTTTTTAAAGTGCGAGTGCCAGGTGTCTGCCCCAGCAAGGGGAGCTAAAGTTCCTAGGGCAGCCGGATGATCCTCTGGGTTTGAAAACATCTGCCCATGCTAGACTCTCAGTCCTGCCCTCCCTCACCCCACCTGCAGCTGCCTCGGTGTCCTCAGACATTTCACCTCCTCTGCAAGCAACTAACATCGGTGAGCGCCAAGCAGGTGCCAAGCACCGAGTTCTATGTTTCCATATGCTAGCTCGTTTAATCCTAGCGATAACCCAGAGAAGGAAGGGGCATGAGCTTCCTTTTATAGAAGATACCTGCCTGACTGAGCTTTAATTCTGATGAAGCATGGTGGTGTGTCCACCAGTGTTCCAAAGTCCCGCCACTGCAGATCTCAGGAGATTCCTGTAAGGCTTAGATTGGCCCCGGGGCACCTGGGGCCCCCTCTGAATTCACCTGCGAGCTAGCCCTACCGAAGGTGTTCTGTGAGAACATCAGTTTCTCCTGATCTCTCCCTTAAAAGATTAAGAGTGCACAGTACTCACTTTTCTATTGGCTTTGAGTCCTGCCCTGGTAAGCCCTCTGCTCAGGGGGATGTTAATCAGTAACTGTATTCCGAGGAAATATGGGAAGACACCTCCTGGCCATGACCTCAAGGCCTGCAGGTATACCTGGCCTTTACTTTCTCTTGGCTGAGGCTGGATACTTATTAGCCAGCCAGGGACTCAAGCTTTTAATTGTTTTTTTTTTTGTTTTTTTTTTGCCCTCCTCACCCCATAGTCTGAACTCTCCAGCCCTAACCCCACCAGAGTTCAGTTCAGCTCCTGCAAACACAGGCAGGCGAGGCCAGGATGGCCCAGGTATCTTGCTCGGGCCCTTGTGGGGGTTTGAGCAGGCTCTGGAGTCCTGACCACAGAGGGCAGGAGCCTACACGTCCTTCCCCAGCCAAGGGGACCCTCGTACCTACACCCATGGCCTGAGTTTTCTCTTGTCTGGGGTTGTTTTCTTCCAAAGACCAGGCATTAGTCTTGGTTCTGAAGGATCCAGGGCTGGGAGGCCATTAAAAAGACAGATATACACGAGTGCTATTGGAGTGTCCCCCTAGAACTCCACTGAGCCACTTTTGTGGGGCCTGTGGGGTCAGAGGAGTAACTTCAACAGCAATCCAAGCGGCTGCTCGTGCAAGCAAACTAATCTGACCAAGAGAACCCCAACCAGCTATCCAGCTCACTCAAAGAAAGGCCAAAGGGAAAATACCAGCCTGGGGCAGAAATGAAGACATTGGTACAGAGAACCTGGAAGGCCTGACAATGGGACAAGTAAGGACAGCGAGAGAGAGCCCAACAACATCAAGCAAGGACACACCTCTCCTTTGGGCAGGATCTTCTGTTCATCCAGCTTGAAGGCTGTGCCTATTCTCCTCCGAACAATGGGTGGTTCCTCCCCCGGATCCAAGGGATATTCAACTGGCAGTTTGCCGGTGAGCTCCTGCATGTGGGAGAGAGCACTGAGGTGTAGGTAGAGTGCAACGTGCGCTGGCCTCCTGCAGCGCACACGCATGTGCACACCCGTTCTTCACGGCACAGACCCAGGACCTAGATCAGAAAATCAAGCACTAGGCCTCCGTAAGAGTTCATGGGATGAAACCTCATTTCTCTAAAAATGTTTCCGAGTAGTCCTTTCTTTACAGGAGAGATGTGCTTCCAAAGTTTTTTCCAAAGTAAACACCTGCCAATAAAATCGCCCTTGGCTTTCATTAAAACTTGAAATTTACTCACTCATTTGTGAATCTGACAGGTGTTTTTCCTGTGTGCCTACCCTGTGACCGGGGAGGTGACTCCATGCACAAGAATTCTTGTGTCTCTTCAGCTCCAAACCCTGTGCTTGTCCCACTGCACTGAACATTCCCTCTCAAAGATCTGACTTTAAAATCTCCCTCAAATGCATTCTTAAGCGATGCTGTATCTATATGGAAAATCCCGGGACAGTGCATTAATGCATAATTTAGAATTCTAAACAAATTACTCTACTCTGGCCAGTCACTAAAGGAAGGGACTGCAATTCATAGACACTGAACTATATACAAACGAGAGTTTTAGTAGGCAACTGAAAATATCATTCAGACTGATGCAGCTACTAAACAGATTTGTTGTACATGTATTTTGGGCTCAAGAAATCCAATTATTGTGGGTACAAGGATATATTGAGATCCTAGGCAATAAACTGAGGATCTAGGGCAGGATTTGGGATTTAGAGAATTAGGTTCTCCAGGAAGGTGTTATATCTGAATCAAGGTCAGGTTTGAGTTAGCTGCCAATCCTCATCGGGAAGGCCAGGCAGCAACTGTAAGAAGTCGCTTCCAGATACCAGGAAAGTCTGGGGGACACAGTTCTGGATTCCCAACCTCAAATCAATGCAGATGCTGCACAAAGACTCAGGGGTTCATTCTGACAAGGGAGAGGTCAGAAGTCTCGCCCTGGGAACATCCATCGGCCACACAGAGAGCTCTTGTTGTTGCAGCTCAGTCCTGAGTGCCCAGCAGGCAGGAAAACCCAAATTACGGGGAGTGACTGATCCCTCCTCCCCAACTGCCACGAGCTGAGTGTGCTGGTGCACCACACACACACACACACACCCCACACACCTACTCTCCTGGCCTCTTCCCTTCTGTCCTCCAATCACTGGGAAACGACCCCATGGACTTTTTCTTCCTTAATGCAAGCATTTCAGAGGACAATGGCCAACTATTTGAGTATGAAATGCCTGCAATTTTCTTCCTTAGCTTTTTCTTTCTTTTTTTTTTTTTTTTTAAAATGTGGGTTCAAATGTCTCCAAGTAACTATGTGTTTATTTGGCAACTTTTTTTTTAAATAGGCTTCCCTAAATGCCTGTGTATCACTCAAACAACCTATTCAGGGCTTTATATTGTCAGGACTTTATTATTTTATAACTAAAAAGTTATAAAAAGGAAGGGAAAGTTGTTAACATTCTCATAGATTTATCACTCCAAACTGTTTGTGGTTTTACGTAAGTATCTGAAAAAATGAGGCTGATTTTTTCCCCCAGCCTTATGAAGGAATTTGAGTCGAGGTCTTGACTTTGCAGATACTGAATCTGATCTTGTATGTAACTAGAGCTGCATGGCCAAGAAGGAATCAAACCCAGTGTCCTTGGGGCGCTGGGCTTGGTTCCTCTCTATATTCTCAGAGCACTCTACCTCATTCTGGCAGCTCCCTCCCCAGCAAAAAGCTTCTTGATTATGAACTGAGCAGAGAAATATATGTGAACAGCACAAGGTTGGCAAGAGGACTCCCCACCATTTACCGCAGGGGAGCCAAGAGACCAAGGTGGGAAGAGTCACTGGGCAAGCACAGGGATGTCACTTGCACCTGACTTTTTTTTTTTTGAGGCAGAGTCTTAAGCTGTTGCCCTGGGTGGAGTGCTGGGGCATCATAGCTCACAGCAACCTCAAACTCTTGGGCTTATGTGATTCTTTTGCCTCAGCCTTCCAAGTAACTGGGACTACAGGCACCCACCACAATGCCCGGCTATTTTTGTTTTGTTACAGTTGTTATTGTTATTTAGCAGGCATGGGCTGGGTTTGAACCCGTGCTGGCGCCCTCCCCACTGAACTACGGGCGCTGTCTGCACCTGACTTCGTATTGGGCCATTTCCTCCACCTAAGTTGGTTTCTGGTGTCAACATTCTATGATGAGGGGCTTGGCTTTCCTTCTTTTGCTTTTGTTTTTCAGATGGACCGTGAGACTTCCATAACTAACGCTCATCTTGCCCGGACATGTTCCTTACATTTTCGAATGTGGATTCCCTGCCAGGTTCAGGGACGAAGTTTCCTTTATTAAAAACAAAACAAGGCTTTATAAATTATTAAAGGCAGACACCAAAACTCAGATATTTCCAATCCTTCAAGCATAGTCTTTACAAAAAACGTTGCTAATATTAACGGTATCACATTCCCTGGCCGGGCCAATGGCTTTCCTAAGATTTCCAGTGGATTTGTGCTAATGTGGTTCTGCTTTGAGCAGGCTCCGGTTTAAATCAATCCAGACCATAATTAAGCCAAGTTGAAGTGTAATGTGATCGCACTCCAAGGCCCCTACTTTCATTCTTTCTGCTGCAAGGCATTATTTGGGGGAGGGGAATACCAAGTCTTTGACTTAGTTTGAAAACTGCTTCGTACCTCCCGTTGTGACCTGTTTACCAACAGGGATCTCTGCAATGTCACAGGGAGTACAGTCTCTCCTGGGAAAGCTCCCTTCCTCTCTGCCCGTGTGCAAGTCCACACACACGTGTGTGTCCATACACGCACACGTACACAGTAATGTATGCCACGTTAAAAAAAAGAAATCTCCAAACACTGCTCACAGAGAGTCAAGGAATAAACAAAAGAAGGTGGAAACGGACATTTCCATAAATACAGACAGTGGCCTGCAGCAGCCTCTATGAGATTAGCATATACACAGCCTCCAGGAGGCACGCCTTTGCAGAAAATTTAGAACTATCCCTGGGCTAAGATTTCCTTTTTAACAATAAAAGGGTTAAAGAAACAACAGGTTTAAAGGCGATTGTGTATCCCGTGAAATCCTGGACTGTCAATGCTCCTCAGTACCATGTACAAAGCCAAATCAGAAACGTGCTCAGGAGAAACCAAAGCTACAACAATAAACTCAGGCCCAAACGGTGGGGAAAAGGTGGCAAGCTATCCTATTCAATGAGGTGCTAGCGCCTGCGGAAATGCTTCACAAACTGTGGTACGAGAGTTGGGACTGTTGCTAGGACCTGTCACTTGGGATCGTATTGATTAGTAGGATTCGGCCGGCAGTAGCTTTAACTGGCCGTCCTGGTGCCTCATCAGCGTCCACTAACCTTGATAAGGAGCATCACGGGGCGTGGGGGCTTCTGACATCTGTGATTCAGGAGTCGCTCCCCGCCCAGGCAGGCTCTCTTTACTATCCCTACCTTGTGCCACTTGTCAATACGTAATAATTAAGGTGACCAGATTTTAACATTCGTAAAGCGGGACACCATTGACAAAGGGGGGGGGCAGGGGAGGTGCAAGTCGGGGCCTGACAACAATGCAGACTTTGATAAGCAGTTCTCCATAATCACTTCTCAACGATTATTTGTTATTATTACAGTTTAACATTATAAAATTAACAAAAATAATATAAAATACATATCCTGGCGAAATAGCCACATGACAGCCAAAAACCGTATATTCCCTTACTGTTCTCCCGCCTGCTTGAGCATTCTTTCCAAAAATCGGGACTTTTTTAAAACGCCGTGGGACACTTGACAAATTGTTAAAAATTGGGACTGTCCCGCCAAAAGCAGGACGTCTAGGCACCCTAGTAATGATCAATGATGTCACAGACCACCCAGATTCAATATGTAATGATCAATGATGTCACAGACCACCCAGATTCAATATGTAATGATCAATGATGTCACAGACAACCCAGATTCAATCCGGAATGATCAATGATGTCATAGACAACCCAGATTCAATATGCAATGATCAATGATGTCATAGACAACCCAGATTCAATCTGGAATGATCAATGACGTCACAGACAACCCAGATTCAATATGTAATGATCAATGATGTCACAGACAACCCAGATTCAATATGCAATGATCAATGATGTCACAGATAACCCAGATTCAATCCGTAATGATCAATGACGTCACAGACAACCCAGATTCAATATGCAATGATCAATGACATCATAGACAACCCGATTCAATCCGTAATGATCAATGACGTCACAGACAACCCAGATTGCCATAGCACAGGAAATGAGCTGCTTACAGCTTCCCGGAGACAGAGTTTCTTCAGTTCCTCCAGCCTCTGCCGCAGCGTCTCCTCCAGAGCTTCCTGCCTGGATCTCAAGGCAGCCAGCATGTCCTTCTTGGCCGACTGAGAGCTATCTGATTCCTGAGAACCTGTCAATAAACAGTGGGGTTACTAGGCCAGCTGACAGGGGACTCACATCTGGACCATTAATGAATTTAACTGGAGCCCACGCTGTGGATCTGGGATTTATCTCGGGAATCCAGGGAGTATGAAATAAAACAGGTGCTCAGAGCTCTAAGTGTAGAGAGCAAATCCCAGAACTGCATGGAATTTATAGCTAGTTGGAAGGACTGGCAGGAAAATTGACACTCCTGGAAAAAAAGTTTATCTTTCTTGATTAGCTTATGATAAAACAGCTCACATACCTGTTTTAATTTCATTAGCACATTTGGTTGTTGGTTTTTTGGGGTTTTTTTGAGACAGTCTTACTCTGTTGCCCTGGGTAGAGCGCTGTGGCATCATAGCTCACAGTGACCTCAAACTCTTGGGCTCAAGCCATCCTCCTGCCTCAGCCTCCCAAGAAGTTGGAACTATAGGCGTCTGCCATAACGCCTGGCTAGTTTTTCTATTTTTTCAGTAGAGACAGGGTCTCACTTTTGTTCAGGCTGGTCTCGAACTCCTGAGCTCAAACAATCTACCTACCTTGGCCTCCCAGAGTACTAGGATTACTGGTGCTATCCACTGTGCCCAGCCTCACTAGCAAATTTTAACAGACTATACAACGTGGAGGGGCCATGCCAGTAATTTTAATATATATTTTTAATGTTCTTTTGTCCATTGAAGAATGCTTCTTTTTTTTATTTTATGCTTAGTGCAAAGATAATGCATACTTATCATAAAAATGTCGAAAACGTGGACAGGTATAAAAATAGTACATACACTAGTCACCTAGAGAGAACCACTACTTTACATTTTCTTTTAAACTTTTATTCTAAGCACACAGCTTTAAAAAATAAAATTAGAATTTTGTTGTCTTTTTTTAACTTCCTCTTGTATTGTGAACAAACTCCTGCTAATAAAAATTACACATATTTTTACATGCTTTCCTGGGTAAAAGATCTGCATGACGATTCAAACAGCAAAACCAAACAAAAGGAAAATAAGCTGAAATGCCAACTGGAGGAATTTAGTATACGCCAAAAGAAAAATGTCTGGGCCGAAATGTTTGGAATCTGAAACAGGTTTCCTGCAGTGACGCCATTATAGTTTTTCTACCTTGATGGGTTAGAAAAGGTGCCTTGACTCCCTAGAAAAGGAAAAGCTGATTATCACTTCTCCTTCCGAGCCCATGGTGAGCAGAAGTGTTTAGAAGTGGACAAGTGTTATTGAGTGTGTGTTCAAGGGCCTCACACTGTGCCACAAATGACCTCAAACACCGAGAGAGAGAGAGAGTGAGTAATCTAATCAAAGGTGCGCAAGATCTCAACCGTGAAAATTATCACACTCCGCTGAGAAAAATTAAAGACCCACATAAATAGAGGCCTACCCGTGGTCATGGATCAGAAGCTTGATGTTGTAAAGATATCCATTCTCCATGAATGAAACACTAAAGTCAATGCGATTCCAATAAAAATCCCCGCAGGATTTTTTTTGGAGGGGAGGAATTATATTTCCATATGAAACGACTGAATTTTTGGACGATTCAGCAAACAGAGATTTGAGAATAATCCAGTCGGAATTCCAAGAGTCAATGGTTCTGTTTCCTTCCATGGTGAAGAAAACATCTCAGCATTATAAAGCTTGAGAGAACTTCTCTGCCTTTGGATCCATCAGTTCCATCATCCTCAAGTTGTCCCCATAAATATACTATTCCACTCTTTTATTTCAAATCTCAGAGTAGGAAACCCCATCTTCCCTCATTGACCATGCACCCAGGCTCTTGTAACCAAGAGAAGCCAAGAACGCTTAATGCCTTAAATACATTTTAATTCTCACTTGGGCTTTGTTCTTTCCCTCACCCTATTTGAACTTGAAACAGAAAATATATTTACCACTGTAAGAATATTCTATCCTTACGCCTCCACAGCAGTTAACAAATATTTGTTTGAATGAAGAAGTAAAAGTGGTCAGTTATAAACCTGGATGCTATAATTAAGGTACATCTCGTCTTGGTAAATCTGGTGTCTCTAAGTAGTTCCTTAATAGAAACTACCTTCCAAGCTTTGGATCATGCTTGTAGCTGCTTCCTGGATTTTGACATGCTTGAGTTGCAGACTTCCAAATTCAATAGCAAACTTGAATGAAAACTTGATCCTTATGGGAGACTCCAGTGCTCATGGTTCACATATACTAAATCTGTCATATCCACGCAACACTTCGCTGAATGTTATTGTGGCTTCCCCTTTTTGAGATGGTATTTTATTGTGTTTTTCTACCTGCCTAAGTCAATGACCTTGGGTTTACTGGTCTATAAGGCAACATGGCCAACTCAGTTTGAATCTTAACCTGATTCTCTTTAGTAATAGACACCAATCATCTTTGAAGACTCAAGAAAATTTGATGAGGTATACTCTCTATTTCATCACTGAAAGAATTAATGAGAATGTAAAACAATACTACAAGGAAGTCAGACTTTAGATTTAAAAAACAGGCCTGGGAGAACTCAGGTCCAAGAAGATTAAAGGATTTCTAGCTCAAGTGAAAAAAATTCATTGTTTTCCCTTTCACCCTTACCTAACCTCTCGATAGGAAACGATGATTTATTATGTCAAATCTAAGAATTAGCTGTGTTCAAGAATGGCAAAAATCACAACAATATTAAACTCTGAGAGCACGACTGGGTTTCTAGTTATGGGATTAATTAAGAACTGACCTTGAGGTATAGGGCTCATTAATGCTTCCTCAATTATTATGATTTATAATAATTAGCTTAAACCGAAGCCACATTAGACAGGCAAGAAAGTCTTGGCAGGCTAGATGGGTCCAGAGCCCCTCTCCATATTCGGCACCACTGCTGCCGGCTGGCTCTGTTTCCTGGTGTGAGCCTGGGAGTCACTTGAAGAGGAAGATGGTACTTGGGCACTAAGTTAAATCCTTGCAAAGTCGCTGAGCTAGCCTGACCTGGTTATGCAGCTTTGCACTTGATAGAAGCTGGGCAAGATACTGCCCTCCTTAGTTCACTGTAAAGACTAAATGAAATAAAGCATGAACATATAGCACTTAGCAGTGTACCTGGAATACGCAGACCCTCAACCTAGAGTAGATTCAGCACTAGCGCACGAGTGTGTGCATATATGCAAACACACACATCTCCTAGTGGAATTAAAAACAGAGAAATCATTCAAAGTATCTCCTCTTTTTTGCTTTGACCAAGGGGGTATTGGTCAAAGAGAAGAACTCTGTGCAATTCAGTGTAAGACTTGAGCTCTAAAGCTCACCTTTAAGAAGGAGCAATACAGGACCTAATATTTTCAAAGTACATTTCCTGAGTCCCTGGGTTTGCAGATACACCTTTGGGGAGCTGTGAATGAAGATGAGGATGGGGGTCTGGTGGTGTCTGCGCCACATTCCTCAAGCCAGAGTAGCCCCACATTAACCTATCCCCTGTGTCACAGTGCACTCAGACGAGGGTCCCATTGCTTTACAAGAAATCTACTGTTCTCAGGCAAGGGTTCTCCGAGTTCTCACAGAGCTGGTGTGACCTGAGCCTGTAGGTCGTCATCTGCACAAAGCAAACATGGCCACCATGAGGGGAGGCGGCTAAGTGACACAGGCACTTAGGAACATCCCACAGGTGGAAGCTCAAAGGGAGAAGGAGCCCAAACTGCCCTGTGATGCTGACCTGGGTCCCCACTTCCTCTACAAGTGCCCCTCTGAATGGCAGGTTGGCTCTGAAAGGGAAGAAGGCACAAGCGAGGGAGAAATCAGGAATGACTTTTCTACACAACTCCAAAGCAGGAGCCCCCTCCAGGCCACCCTTCATTTATTCCTCACAGAAATGTTATCCTCATGTTCACAGAACAGGTCACGGGGGCAAGGGAGGCAGACCCGAGCTTCCACCTGAGCTCTGTTGGGTCTGTTTTCTCCCCAGGAATGGAGACTCCGCTAGGATAGGAACTTTATGTCATGGTCACAGCGGGGTTGCCACAGCCCACGCGGCGCAGAGAGCAATCGTATCTGCCTTCTGAGCCCAGGCTCTCCCCGGGGTAATAGCATGGGTCAAAAAGGTAGGTGGAGGAAGGAGCAGAGAGAACCAAGGGGCTCTTCAGATCTGCCAGCGAAACAACAGGAGTCCCTGTAGCCCCTGCCATGTGCTCAGGGCTTTGGAGAGACAGAGACAGCAGACACGCTCCGGCTGCAAAGGACTGCCCCCTAGGAGAGAGGCTGTGGCTGCCATGGAAGGCAGGACCCACCCCCTGGATTGCTGCTAACTTGCTAACCACCCTCCTTGGGTTTTCATTTTGCTAAGGAGGTTAAGGCCCCCTGGTATTCACTTCCAGGAAAAAACACCGTGTCAGATCAGCTCTCTAGCACAAACCTTTCTCCCCAGTGCTTGTTGCTCAGTAAATATCTATTTGAATGATATTGGGTTGAAAACATAGTATTTTGTTTCTGGCTATTTCACAATCACATTTCAATCTTAACTCAAAGGATTTTGTTGGAATAGGTCCCTAATAATCTGGCCAGTGGGAGGAAAAAAAGACCCGAGCGTAAAGAAGATAGACAGGCCGAGTGATTCACGTGAAGTCAGAAAGTCATTTTTAGGGGGTGCTCGGAAAGTTCTGAGGGAACTTCCTGGCATTGCGGATGTTGTTGGAGACCCTGTAGACGCCACCTGTGTCACTGCGGGTTTTCCATTTTCTAGCCGGGGAACTCCAGACTCCAGGCCAGTGGGCAGCTGGGTGTGGAGGGGCCAGATGTGGAGGGAAGGCAGTAACCAGGGGCTGTCTTCTGGCAAACGCACCAAGGGGAAGACTTCCCCACTCGGCTGGTGGAGAATTTGCTTCAATTGTTCAAAAGACCCCAGGCTGGTGGGCAACTCAGCCCTGCTGAGGGGGGACACTGTCAGGAACCAGCCAAGGCTCCTCTGTCTGTACACAGAGCAGAAACGACCAGCCGTCAATTTCAGAAGACAGAAGGGTATTTTCTC